GCTATTCATCATGGTATACTCTAAATTGTTGTTATTAGATGGTTAGAGGCAATCAGAAAGAGACCTTCGACCTAGGTTTTGTGCTAGTTGGCACTCAACAGTTAGCAAGGCGTATCTGCAACCTTGAAGGAACACATGTTCCTTCTGAGATTCGAACCTGTGTCACCTAATGCTGCAGTCAGAGACGTTACCACTGAGCTATTCGGGGCACAATTGACCTCCTATAGGACTGTATCGCATACTTTGATTGAACACTAGGTGTCATACGTTTAGTCGTTTCTACGATGACGACTGAATTCCGTCAGTAATTATGCTAAAGTATGGAAACTCGAACGCTTAGTGGGAGTATTACACTGTTCAAAATCTGAGACCAAAAATGGGAAGGTCCCTATTTAGTACGACGTAAGAATTAAGGCAAATACTTTGAACTTTCAGATTATTTCTAGACAGTAGGCAATAAAACTGAGTGGTCTACGAGCTTGTTTCGTAACTGGATGATCGTGGATTCGATCTTCAATGGGTGAATACTGTCGATGAGCCCAATACTGGAACGAAATGACTATCCCATACATCCTGGTTTTCAGTGGTTCCTTAACTGATACCAATCCGTGATCAAACTTGAAACAAATCAAATCTCTACAAACTAACTTTTGAAAAAGTAAAGGTGATAAATATCTGATGAGTTTTTGAATTATTAGAATAATACTCTGAAAAATCGATCACTTAGAAATATGGAATTGAAGTATGTGTTCGAGATGAATATGTCTCAAGTTTTTATTCAAATAGATGCATTTTTAATGCAAAATGGTTGTCAAATGTACAGGTCTAACTACACTGGACTTAACACTGTCCTTAGAAGACTTTCAGGAACTGTGTGCAATAACCAACGCGAAAAACCAGAACACAAATAGGTGACTCAAGAATCCTTTATTCTTTCACCAATATAGAACCAACCATAAGGTTATTGTACACAAAGTCTAAGAATAAGTGTCATAACAATAAATCACAATGATACTTCTGATAGTATTTCTCCGTCTTCTAATGAACAGCGAACGATGACTCCCGCCAAAATATGGAGTTGAGTTGAGTTTGATCGTTCATTCTTCAACTGCATTGACAGTGGTTCTCCTTCACATGTTTACTGTTTGGAAACTGTATTGAATGAAGTGTTACAGAATTTAGATAAAAGAAACATCTGTCCAGTACTTCCAGGTTTTCCAGTGGTTTTCTAACTGATGTTAGATAATGATGAAATCCTCCATGCAATCAAACAAAATCCCCACAAAAGCAGTACTTAAAAGAAAAGTCTTCATCCACTTGGTTTAGGAAGTATATATGGATAACCGTAAACGATTTATAGTTTAATTAGTTACTATATATATTCTGAGAGAGGAAACACAGAATCTGTGTATTCAGAAATACCACTCCTTTTTCTATTCTTTTTGTCTTAGCATGCTTTTTTCTTTGAATGCAGATTATAGTTATTTCATTTTACTTTTAATTTTTAATGTAATTTTTAACCGATTCCCTAGATGTCAGTTTATGGAATGTTCTGCTTCATTGTATTGATGAAGAAGTCGACACTGATTAAAGTTGTCATCTCTGAATCAAAGTACAAAAGGTAGCAAACATTAGTAGAACCATAAATGATTATAAAATGAGAAGGAAGCTAATAAAATCTGGGTTTATAAAAGTGAAGTGACAAAGTTTCCTTGTAACTATGCACTGTGAAAAGTTTTGAGCAAAACCACTGAGTTTTATTCGCTTAATTTTAGCACCTGAACCTGGTAATAAACAATGATTTCACGAATTCGTGTTATATTTACGTGTAGTTACCCTTAGTTTCCTCATAAAATGACTCGACTTCGGTTGACAATATGGACAAAGTGCTTATTAACTTAAGCTGTTGACATCTGCTCACTTCATCTACTTCAGTTAATGTCATCAGTTCTCAGACAATAAGTGTGGCTGGTAGCCTGGTGCATGGAAAATCTGTTCAGAGTAATCGAGTTCTGACTAATCACTCACTCATTTAACTTTGCTTGTGCACCACATGTTTAATAATAATAATAATCTGTTTTATTCCAAAGACAGTACTTATAATACAGAATGAAATTCTCAGCATTTGTCACAATATTGCATCTGATTTACTGAAAATATAAACAAAATTAAAAATATAAATATAATTAACCAGAGGAATTTGTCCACATTTACGATATAAAGTCAAAGCATTCGAAGCACGGATTGAAAATATTAAATGTAGTAATAACAATAATGATAATAGTGGGTTTGTTTTAAACAGTACTGTAGATTGAGTTTGGAAATTTTAGCATGTTATAGATTATTGAATCTAAGATACTGTTAATATAGTATGGTGAGGGAAAATACAAAATTAACAGTTATAACATAGCTTAAATGATGCTCACACTTATGAAAAAATAAACAAATAAAAACAAAAAATGATAGGATTATAAATACAAGGAGAACAATGACAGCAAAGCTTGATGTAATAAGGTTGAATAAAATTGGTTCATTTAGTAGTGCAAAGAAGGTTAGTTAGTTCATGCCTAACACTATTTTCATCATATAAATTATGTGCTGCCGAATATGGTATGGTGGAATTTTTGTACTTAGACGTACGTGTATAAAGTCTTATGAAAAGACTTCTAGTTTTACCTGAGAAGACATAAGGTTGGAGCTGAGGGTAAACTGGATGCTCACAGTCTGTAAAAATTCCTTTAGCTAATTTGTTGGATGATAGCAAGTACGTGTCAGTGACAATGTCAATGATGTGTCCCAAATGGATACCACTCGTCCTACAAACAGTTTTCAGAGTACTACGGAGTATGACATAGTCTTTTCTAAGGAATCCAGGAAAGAATAAGGGTGAACAGCAAAGAAAAGTAGGTGAGATGCACGAGTTGGCAAACTGTAACATGAGGAGTGATTGGGTTATGCCTGAGTGACTCAACTTCTTAATGTAAACTGTCAGACGAAATATTCTTTTAGAAATCACTAAGACATGTGAAGACCAGGATAGACCAAAAGAAAGAATTAACCCAAGATAATTGACTTCAGACTTGGTTTCTATATCAGTATCATCAATTTTGCAACGGTCATAGAAACCAACAGTTTCACTTAACTTTCGTTTACATCGGAAACTGAAATTAACAGTCTGACATTTGGAAGGATTCAGTTTAAGAACATCTGACTAAGGCCATTTGCTAACTTCTGATGCAAAGCTGTTCATCTTAGTACAGCCAAGCTGGGAGTTAACAGACATTGAAATAGTCAGATCGCCGGCATACTTAACAAAGTTCATTCCATCAGAGTGAAGTAACTTTGATCAATACAAATATATATATATAAGTTTACCTTGTGTCCTATCTTTATTTGTAGATGAACATGATTATGTGGAGCTATGATTATGCTTTATTTTCCTGGTCGAGTTAAAATTTTGATTTGCTATTTTCGGTTATATGTCAAACTATTTTTTTTCATGTGTTTTGTCGATTTTGTCGTGTGATTTGTCATTTTAAATAATAATAATAATTTGTACTTTTCTGTATTAGATTATTTGGTATTTGCAAATTCTGTTCCCGTGTATAAGTACATACATATACATTGATGGATATATGTGAAAAGATTTTTGTATCAAACTATACTTAATTGTTCGCATTTGATATATAAGACTGGAAGACTGCAAAAATCTTTTATTCCTTTAAGTTCCCAGTGGAAAGTAGCGCTTCAAGCTAGAGCTTTGAAGTTTCTGTATCAATGGTGTTTATTTTTACGGGATGCTTGCGTCATACCCAACCTTCCCTGTTTACCAGTCTCATTACTGGCTTAGCGAGGTAAAAGAGCACGTCATTCGGAGATCGAACCCAGGACCACATGACGCGTGATTGGTGAGCATTCTACCGACTCACACAAGAGCTTATAAAGTAAACGAAATATACGAAATTCATAGATGATATGAAGGTTTCTCAGGTTAACTTAATACCTTGAAAGATAAGCGATATAAAAGACACATAAAATGCTGCGAAGAAAGTTAGCGCTTAAAATTTGATCGAGAAAAATATTTGGGATAATTATTCTAGATTAGTCACTAAACAAAACAATAACAATACGCTAAGAACCAGAACTACAGAACATTTCACGAAACCACAAGAAAATCACTCAACTACGGTAATTAAAGTTAGTACATGTAACCGTTATGCTGGCTACACTCAGATTCCCTGTTAGCAGGGTGATATCGTGCTCATCAAGTATATAGTGTCCTGAAACTTTTATTTTTCAGAAACGCGCAGTTGACTGCTTTCACACGAATATATGTCAACATATCAGCTGTTAAATCTGTATGGTATGGCATGCAATGAAGACTAATCTGGCTGTAGATTGTGTAAATTCAATAGATGCCTACTAAAGAACATACACCCATAACACTATAGTGTATACAGGTATAAATGCAAAACTGACCACATACTATACTGTGTCTGTAAATGATTTAGCATCTAGACTGTTTATTAATTTAAACTTGTTGCATTAATATAAAAACCTGTTGTTTTTTTACCCTAAATTTTGTAGTCTCAAAGCGAGTAATATCGCTTATATTGGTCTGCGCGACTTGGATGATCATGAAACGTAAGCGTATCATTTTTGAACACCATTAAAAAACATGTTTTATTCAAGGTTAAAAGTTTAATTTTGTAATGTAGAAGACCTAACTGATATAAGTTTACAACGTTTTGACATTGAAAGATGGACGTCTCAATGAATGATGAAAAAATTAGACACTCACCAAAGAATTATTCTGATTAGGAAAATCATTGCAAACCAACACTTGAAAATGAATCTAGTGTCTACTAGTGACTTAATACAAAGCAAAGTTGCCTGGAGTTCTGCTGAGAAGTCTTGACTAGCAGCTTCTGACAAGTCAAGTGTGAGGATAAATACTCCCCAATCACAGAAGCACATGGCTGAACGATTTGTAAGCAGTTGGAATTCGTGGAGCTGCCCCACAGGCAGGGTGGTTGACAGACTCGCCTCGTTAACTGAATGTCACAGGTTTGATACGCTGTTGGTTTGTGGGTGTACACTGCCGAACAGTCTCTAAACCAGGACGAAATATGTTTCGAGTACTACCTCCCCTTCAGGGGTTCTCTAACTAATTTCAGTTTGGAATCTAACGTGAAATCAATCAAATCTCTGCAAGTTAAAATTACTTTGAGGTGTGAGTGAATAAATTTACAGGGCTTACAGAAAATCTGTTTGATACACTTTAATACAGAGTTTTACTTTTTAAAAGGCGTTTAATTTGCAGCAAACTGCATTGCGTATGTCAGGGAAAAAATATTTTCCACAATGACGAGATACCGCAGTATCTTTTATATGTAGGTATACTCTAAGCAATTCGCTACACACAACCGAATCAGTCAGATGATAGTGATATATAGCTAATGGAAAAAGTGTGATTACACAACTCCGATACAAGGTGCTAAAATCGAAAATATCGAGAGAGAGAGAGAGAGAGTAATGAATGGTAGGCGAAAATATCAAGACGATGTACTTATGAACCTCCTTGTTGCTTAAATGTAGACCATTTATATAAATGTGCTTTAAAGTATTATCAAAGTGGGGGCAAGCTAATAAATCATTAGGCCACTGGATATTACTAGTTTATTGCATCACTAATTTCTTGTTTGTACAAGTGTCATCGGAATGCCAAATAATACTGATTTTTAGCCTCTCAGTACTATAGTCTAAAACAGTACAAAAACATCCACCACGTCACTTTTTTTCCAACTAAGTTTTCCATTATTTCACTTTATTTTAATAAACAAACAAACAAACAAAGGAGTTACATATTACCACAGTATCCAAGTTTTACTATTAAATTACTTCCGTCATTCTGTTTACTGACGTCTTAAGTTATGTCAGTGATTACTTCAGTTTAAATTTTACTGGTATAGATAGAGTTAACATTCTTCTTAATCTGATGCAGACATATTACGCGCTCCTCATTAGACTGTTAAAACATTTTAGATATCGCCTGTTAAACTGCGTCAGCGAAATATGTTTACATGAAACTGATTTTTATGCAGATTTCATGTTTACGATAAAAATCTTAGTACGAGTAAACGAGCCATTATGATGACATGCGAGAACATCCGACAAAGACTTGTTAACTAGTTATCAATTCAAGGTTGAACAACCATTTTTGCGGTGATTTTTTAAACTGTATTAAGTGCCTATCTAGACATCAGACCATATGGCCATTTTCAGTAAGTACTTTTTTTACCATGTTGTTATAAATAACGTTTAGGCTTGATTGCGTTTTTGTGATATCGTGCTCGACATCCAGTCTAGGAAATAAACCAATGAGAATTCAGCCCATGTAAATTAACGCCAATATTTTACTGATCGTGATTGCATATCTTTTTTTATTCTTGCACGTTCCTTCAAGCTTCAAGCTAGAGGCTTGAAGTTTTTGTAGCAGTTGTGATTACTTTTACAGGATGGAGTTGCTAGCCTCATGCCCAGCCTTTCCTTTTTAACAGCTTTTTATTACTGGCTTAGCGAGGTAAAGGAGTGCGTCCGTGGCCGGGGATCGAACCCCGGACTATATCCATGGTCAGCGAGCGTACTAACTGCTGTGCCACCGATGCACGATTACACATTAGATGAGTTTATTTTAGGTGTCACACAGTGATGCAGTATTTTACAGCTGGATGACGTTTCGAGCATAAATTATTGTTCATAATCATATGAGTTTAGTCACAAGGTTTCAGAATTTCTCGTTTGTTGCCACTTTCCATATCTCCGGTATAGCCGTTGCATCATTCCCATTGCACGTATGCGGTGTTAAATCGATAAACACAGCTTCAATTCAATACCAAACACGTTCAAATGGAATGATGCAACGGCTATACCATAGATATGGTAAGTGGCAACAAAAAATTATTTTAACCATGTGACTAAACTGGTATGATTATGGACACTTATTTATGCTCGAAACGTCATCCAGTTGTTAATACAGCATCATCACTGTTTGATACTTAAAATAAACTTATCTAACATGGAATTACATTTTACCACAGTACCAAAATCCTTCTCATACAGTAATCATGATTACAGACAGATCAACATATCATTTAATTCAATTTTAGATTTTCCCGTCGATTGATTGGACCGAATTGCTTGGCCTCAGGTTGACATGTCGGCTTCTTGTGCAGGTGCTTCGACAACATCTGGGCATGTTAAACTACACTGGTTTCGAGCATCAGTGAGAGCATCATCACTCACTGCGGAATGCAGGTACATCCAGATGACTAGTCCTGAATAGGTGGATAGTCATCATCCACCAGTTAACCTCAGATTGACATATCCATAATGATATTTGGATGTATGCATTATTGCGTAAACTATGCTCTGCAGCTTACGTCGTTGTGTGTTCTCACCTAAGTAGCGCCGACTGGGGACACAAGTAGCTGTCATATAGTGTATTTGGCATAGTCAAGCGACAGTCGTGATTGATCAACGCGTCTGTGCTTAACTCTATGTCCCCACTTCAATCTCAACTTATTAAGTAATTAATATTACAGTTTACTGATGAATAAGAATAGTGGACTTTATGAATGAATTTCAGGCTTTAGCTCGATAATAAATTACATTTATAACTCTGAAGTATGAGTTAAAAAAAGCTATCTAAAAAGACAGTGAACATCTATGGGACATGTAAGAACTAATTAGTAATGAACCAGGTATATCTGTACTTCAAATTTAATTAATTTTTCTGACAAGTTATTATTTTTTTGTGTGTGTGTTTTTTGTTCCGATTTTTATGTTCGGTTTTATATCTATCTCACTGCAAAAAAGATCATCTTCTGTGTTATTATTCCCTTAGATATGATATTCGGAAATATGGTATTGCACACTTTACAATGCTTGACATTGATCAGATGGGCATAGAAACAGTTATTAAACAAGCTTTACAAGCGGTGAATCCAAGGTAATGTAAAGCTAATGTTTTCAGCTTTATTTCGCTAACTGTAAATTTAATAATAAGTGTTCTATCCATGACTGTGGCATTTATTATGACAAGAAGAATTGAACAAGTTCCCTGAAATAATTACAAATGCATACGCACTTGTATTTTTGCCTAAATCGTAGTAAAGTATATCATTATGTAATCTTCTGTTATCTTATCTGAGTTGGTTACCGCCATTTTATCTTTACCTCTCTTCCTTATCATGCAACGACATACGACAACAATAACTGTTGATGGTCATGCTTCATTCTACATTTATTATACAATTTCAAAGATTGTCTATAACATGAGATGTAAGCGACTATTACAATAGTGGAAGGCGCAAATAACAAGCTAATCCATTACTCAGTTCACTGTGTTATACTGTTTTAACTATCATAAGGAATCCACATCTAGATATATATTACGCGCCTTTGCATGGCAAGATATTAGACACAGTAAAATAGTGAAATATATATTTTGAAATATTTTACAAACCTCAAAAGTTAAAATATTTCGGCGTAGTTTTGATACTGTGTGATATGAAGAGATTGAAGCATCTGAGTGTAGAGTATGAAGGCGGTTGATTAGGAAGTTCTGCAGTTTTTTCTTTCTTCTTATTTTATTCTAAAAAGCGGTGTCGGAATATTTTCACACTTTTACTGTGTTAACAAAGAAGCCATTCATCCGCGTTATTTCGCTTCCTTCATCTAACGCCAGAATGCTATCGAGTTTTCCTGTGGATATTTTTTTCCTGTCTGACTGTATTATGCTGTATATAAAAACGTTTAAGTATGATTTAGATAGTTTCAAATGGAAGATGTAATGGCTTTTTAAAATCTCACTTTATCTAAATTTCTGGTAGAATATGTATATACAATTTTTAGTGGCTTGTCAAACAAAGATGTTAAGCTTTGATGTTAACTGAGAATTATGAACTTAGATTTCTTCAGTGGTAGTACTTATGAGTTAGTTTGCCGTCATAACACTAAACATGTAGAGTAAAAATAACTAGTTCTAAGTGTATAATAGTAGCATTGTGTCACTTTGGTATATTGATCATAATACACTTTTCAATGTAGTTTTTGAATAGTTTTGTAACAACAGAAGACAAGAGCCAGGAAACAGATCGTTTATTAAGGAAATCAACACATATTTATAGATTTTCATGTACATTATTATAGATTATTGTTAGCTGACAAACACAGTCTTCTGACTGGTTGTTTCTCACTGAAAGTTAACCTTTCATTTCTTTGTGGCTATTTCCTGAATGTCAGATCATCTATATGTCAACTGTATCCGCCTACGCAAAGTCTTCTTTCTCATTTTTCTCACGACCAATATTGGGGATATGGAGATTGACGTAAATTACTGTCCACCAACTTTGGCTAGCAACCAGCTGTCGCCACGGTTTGAAAGAGTTAGATTAGTCGACTTCTGGTAACTTAAGCACAATTATGCAAATTCCTTTTATTTATGGATGGTATTATTATTATTGTTTTCTTGGGTTCCTAGTGGAACATAGGGCTTCACCTGCACATCTCCACTTGCTTCTGTCTTCTGCTGCTGTACTTTTCACCTGCATCCATGTTAGTCTATACTCTTTCAACTCCTCTTCACACAATCTCCTCCATGTCACACTTGGACGTCCCACTCGCCGCTTCCCTTTCAGGTTCCACTCGAGGGCATACGATAATATTATTATCCCTATAGTTATTTGGACTGAGAAAGATACCTGTTCATATTCTGGATTTGTTAGTGTTTGAATAATTTTGCTTTAGAGTTTTTCAAGAATCGACATTGACTATAGAATCCCTGAACTACACTTTCTCCGCAGCATGAGACTTTTCAGTTATGCAGATTTGTGAACCCACGTTAAAATTCTAACGAGGTTTTGACTGATGGAGTGTGTTATGCTCGGCGTGATACAGATGCTCACTAATAGTGGAGGTATATCACGAATATACAGAAGTTAAAATTCATAATTATAAATTCCAATTGAGTAAGTGATTAGTAACCTGTTCACTTAGAGAACTAGAGATTCTGTGTTCGATTCCTAGTGGGTTCACTGGTGAACAACTGCTGAGTACTGCTTGGTTTGCAGTTCATAATAAAGTCTATAACGAAAAATCTGTCTTTTTTTAAATTTAAAACTGGATATCGATAACATCGATGAGATTGTCATACTCTCAGTTTATGGAGTACTAACCAATCTGGAATTCAACCTTATAAAATTATTTTTGCATGCTGGTGAATTAATGACATCATTGGTACAACTGTGTGTATATATATGTGTGTGTAAACAGCTATATTACATTTTATGGCGCTCACGTAATAATATAAGATGAATAACTGTCATTTACATGATAATATTTCGAGTATAACTCATTCTTTATGAATATAACAAAATATTCAAATATTTGATGTCATCTGACGTCCCTAGTTTTATTGCTTTTGTATATATACTGTTTAGTTGGTATTAACTGATATTGTCTATACATTTGAGCAGTTGTTAAATCATTTTGATTGTATGCATCAGACGCTGATGTGATAAACACAAATCTGCATTGAAGTAGAAAGAGAGAGAGAGAGCAATTTCTAGTGGAATCAACTTTTGTAAAAGTAGACGAAATGATATGCAAGAGTTTGCTAGCGATATAAGTGAGAGTAAAAGCCATTCAGTTTTACGAGTTTAACATCTGAAAATGTATGGATAACTTGAAATGAGAATAGACGGAATGTTATTACATTAAAGAGATTACTAGAACGGAAATTACTAGTAAAGGGAATATAGAAGCGTATCATAAAGTAGTCATGACCTATCCTATAATAGGATACGGTAAAATAACAATTTCATCAATAATCCTCATCCATAAGACACAAAATAATTGAGAGAAGAATGCCCTTTTCGATAAATTCCTCTTCTAGCTCCACAATTATATATGCATGTTTATATACATAGAATATTCTAGATTAGTAGTCAATAACAATATTAGTGTTTTTTGAATAGTATCGATTTGCAAAGTAAGTTCACAATGGAATTACAGTTCACTAAAGATGCTTATATTACGATAATAATAAAGATATCGTAGCGAATAGAATATCAACTAAACTTAGGAAAATTCCACAAACATTCAGGATCATTCAAACCTGGATGGCCAAGGTGAGGATAATGTCTGAACTAACTTCTTTTAGATGCACAAATTAGGCTTGTTAATATGAATCCCCACAGCGTCAGCAATATTTAGTAATCGAACTCTCAAGGCGAAATTGAGATTTGTACCTATGCGGTAAATGACCCTGAAAGCATGGTTAACGTCAGTCTTATGTTCTCTATCCACAAGATGAGATAGAATAGCGCTACAAATAGATTTAGTTTGTCCTTTGCTCAACCACACGGGGTAGTGTTCGAAAATTTGACGGGAAACACGCCTAATTGTACGACCTATGTAACTGGCTCCCCATCTAGTCATTGGTAAAAAGAATAGAACAAGTAATTCAGTGAAGTGCTTCTTTTTAGAGGATTCATTTTCTTTAGTTGTACACTCGCATTTATAATACACTTTTTTCCACGAAAGAGGATTGTAGTGAAAGAGATGAAGTGTCAGAAACATTATTATTATTATTCCCTTGGGTCCCAAGTGGAACATAGAGCTTCAGCAACACATCTCCACTTTCTTCCACTTTCTGCCGTCCTCTTCATCTGGCTAGCTCCACAATTGCCCAGATTCTATCATTTCCTCCTCACATGATCTCCTCCATATTACCATAAGACGACTCATTCGTCGCTTACCATCAGGATTCCACTCTACCAATGACCTGTCAGTGACTGCTCACTTAGTATTAGTCTAAAGATCAAAGCATTCACTGTAGGCTGTCTCTCTGCAAAGATATCGTTGCTCAGCTTTTGTTGTGTGTTTTTCTCTCTACCTAATCTATTAGCGACAAAACGCACATCAACTGTATCATTCGATAAGGTTATACAATTAAATTTACAGAATAATACTGAATTTAATGAATTTTAGATAACTTTAAAATAAAACCTGAACAAAGTCATTTTATGTTTTTGATGTATGTACATAACTGATTGAACCAGTGTGCATTTTATTGACGATTAGTTGCATAACTTCGACTTATTTATGAAGTTGTCACTGTTTTCAGTGGTGCGTTTTTTTTATATTGTTAATGAGCGAGAAGAATGATTAATTTTGACAATTTTAGAAATGTAGATATTCAATTAATAATGATGACAGTGATAATAAAAACAACAATAATTAAATCTTGTGTCATATAAGAAGCTGATGTTTTGTGGTATACATTTTAAACGTAAACATAGATCATCAGTCATAATTCCCTTGGTTACCATAGTATATACTGTCGAAGTTATCTGATGACGTAAATATTATATATGTGTATATATGGAACCAGTATCTGTATTGGTTTTATTCTTATATAGTACACATGTTTATCTAGGCAACGTTATCAGTTTCAGTGAGTTTCATAAAGACACTTTATTTACGATGATCGACAACAGTGTCACGATAATACCAGTAGTAATAAAGTCTTTAGAATAGGACTGTTATCTTATACATCAGAATAATAATAATAATAAAACTTGGTCACAGGATTTCGTCATGAGCTGACATGGGCCAGAAAGCCATTGGAAAACCCACTAAAAGTACTGGACAGCTGTATCGTCAGCCTAGTTTGCGACTCTTTAGCAGTATGCGCTCACCGGGGTTCTAGCCGAGGACCCTCTGGTTACAAAGCGAGCTCGTAGAAACAGCTGTCCGGTACTCCTAGGGTTCTCTAACTGATGTTAGCTCATGGTGAAATCCTGTAAGCAATCAATCAAATCACTTACAAACCAATACTTAAATAATAAAACTGTCAAATATACCAAGAGAAATTTCCTCTTGTACTGCTAAGAATAAAATGTCATCGGAAGAAATATGAAAATTCACTAATATCCAGAGAACAGATAAAAACAAGAGTAGGAATCATTGGTGAAGGTGTCTAGTTTTAATTTGAAACTTCTCAGCCGTACGCACTACTGACTTCATTAGGTCTATAATCGAGGATTTCTTAGTTTTCAGATCACATTTTAATTCAGGCGTTTGATCAAAGTTAATAAATCCGTATTTTATAATTTCCATCACTTCTAAAAATATTTTTAAATATTCCTTTGCCTACGCAGTTGAACATGCGACTTCAAGCTTTCGCTAAGAAGTTTCAATAGCAGTGGTGTTTTACCGGGGTTGGGGTTGCCAGCTTCACGCCAAACCTTCCTTCTTTTTCGGGATTGTTACCGGCCAGGAGAGGTAAAGGTGTGCACCAGTTGGGACTCGAACCCTGGACCACGTGCACGTGATAGGAAAGCGACCTAATGCTGAACAACTGATACACCTTTTAAAATATACCAACTGAAATTACCATCAATCCGTTACGGGAATTTCTACTGCCACATTGTAGTCAATCATAATCATCTGTCATAATCGAGCATTATTTTATGAAAGCATACAAATCTTAAGGAATTCTTTAAAATAACGTATGAATGAAATTAAGTCGGTAACCTTAAAGTCAAATTCTATTCATATTTGACTGAATGGGTATGTTTATATATATATATATATATATATATATATATATATATATATATATATATATATATATATATATATATATATATATATAGTTATCTCTTTTCACATTAAAAACAAGAATATGAGGTATTCTTACACATATATTTCCGAAAACATACTGATAAAAGATTGAAGTAAAATACAAACAAAAAAACCTGTAAAACAATAAACAGTAAAGGAAAAGTTATGACCACAATTTGAATATACTGAATGTGTGAACATTGTTAAACAAATGATCACATTATACTGAGGTCTGAAAGTACATTGAATTTGTTATTGTTTTTTTTTTTATTAAGTACTGAGTGGATTTCGGAAGTGTCAGATTGTTTCTTTAAGTCATATAACTTCCTTGTTAGCTTCTAATAAGAAAAAATCATGTTCATTATTATAAAAGATACTTTCTGTATTTCCCAATGGATGAAAAACAAAACAATATTGTTGTTTTTACTGACATTTCGCTATTTAATGCTGGTAATAGCTGTATCAAAGTATTACTATACCAGGATTTAAAAATATCTCAGTTTATATACAACAATTTTAATCATCGTTCATCAGTAGGGAGTAATTTCAAAGTTATCGAGTTGGACAGTTGGTAAAGATAAGAAAACTAAGTTTACATTGTTGGATTTGGTCTAGGAAGCATCGTTTCACCTACAGGCGGATGACTCGAATGAAGACATCAAAGCCAGTCAGTCAGAAACGGAAAGGCACGATACACCTTCATCAACCTGAAACTGGTTGGGAAATCTTATGCACTCCACCTCAGCCTAAAGAACAAGATTAGGACTCTATTCAGCACAAATGGGAAGTCAGTCAGTCAGTCAGTTCTCCTATACGAGTCAGAAACTTGCACTGTGTGTCATGGAAAGCATTTCCAGCAGGCTACTGGAGACTTTTTTCAACAGCTTTCACCTTCGCTGGCTGGCTCCATACTGAGGATGAAATGGCCAGCCGGCCATAAATAATTAGTAACAAGAAACTCTGTCTGGGAACAAACCAACGGAGAGCCGATTGCTCAACAAATATGTAGGAAAAGATGGAGATGGATCGTCGAATGACATCACGCACAATGCAGGCCATCACTCAAGTGGAATCCAAATGGGAAGTGACGAGTGAGTCGTTAATGAGAGGGTGACATGAAGGAGATCGTACGAGGAGGGAGGAGATGAGAGATTATGATCAATCGTGGAGCTAGCCAGCTGGAGAGGATGGTGGAAAATAGAAAGTGGAGATATTTTGCTGAAGCCACATATTCCATTCGGAACCCAAGGGAATAATAACAATGAGAATAAAATTATAAAAGCGGTTTGCATAATGAAATTTTTATCGCATTCGTGTTGACTTTGTCATTTCATGGGGAGGGGGTTTTCTGTAACCAGGTCAAATTCTTTTTCACTCCATTATTCCTATTCAAAGAATTTGGATTCCATTTGATATGAAGTGCTTCCGATATTAGACGTTCTTTTTGATTTCTGAAATATTTTTAAAATAATGCTCTGATAAAGTTATCAACAGCATTAGATAGCGAAACGTCAGTAAAAAGTGAAATCATATGCTCAGAAATTCATTATTTCATCAATGTGCTCCTTTCCATCTGCATAAATTAACATTTGAATATTACTGTCATTGTATTTGTGTCTTGATTGTTGTTTAGTTTCACTGAACGCGCCTTAAAAAGTTGAGTAATTTTACCTCTGTGTATATATGAGTAAATGAAGTTCTTAGTCAAATAGTGTGAACTCATGTAATTTAAAATTCAGCAAGGGAAATGTTTTTCATAGTCGAATGAAATTATTAATAATATTTTTAGCCTGAGTAGGCAGGAAATATTCTGAACTCTTCTGAAGATTTCTTTAGATTGAAGTTTATTTTATAATGACAGTGAAGTACCATTACACACTTGTTAAACCTGACATTGAAGAGTTCCATCCTATGCAAATATAAAATCGTTTCTAGACTGTTTTGGGATTTTCTATGGGTTTTTTAGGCCAGTCTGTTGAACAACAGTAATCATTACTAATTTTCACATCAAACAACTTTTAAATGATTAAAAATGCCCATTAAAATTTTTCAGAAGAATGGATACTGAACATAAGAGTACTCTTTTCGATAACTTCATCATCAGGCTCTACAGTTATACATACATTATAGTCAATGAATGAATTAGTGTTATGAACAACATTAATGTTGTTTAAATAAAATCGAATCAATAATATTGATAGATTACAGCTCAATAGCATCAACATTAAATAAGCTGAATGTTAGAAAAATTAAGAAAGATAATATTACAAATTCATAAGTTTATAGTTTCTGCTGAAGGCCAGGGCAGTAATAATGCTGGCTGGACTTGCTTCTTTTGAACACAGAGCACTGGTTGTTTGAGGCGAATTGCAATGGCCTCTGCTGTTTGGAGTATGCGATGCTTCGATGATTTTGACAATTTATTAGGCACCCGGTAGATTATAGATAAGGATTCTTCCACGCTGGTTGGCTTTGCGGCCGGTTAGCACCAGATGGTCCAATATCGAACACCTTTACTTAGCCATAGTGTGAGATGTTCTCGAGCGACCACGAAAAATCAAGTTCCTAGAGCAGCGGCCAATATAACTCGCTCCACAAGTGCAATTCAATTGGTAGATAAATTTGAAGTGGCTAGTCCAGGTACTTCATCTTTCAGTCGAGGTAGGACCATCGGTTGTGTAGAGAATGACACGTTTAGTTCACCGGTATTAAAAGTTCCTTGAACTGATTTTCTTAATTTCCTCGTAATTATCTCACTTGGTATATCACCCTTGAATTGTAGTCGTAAATAAAGTGGCTTCTTGTTTACAACTTTTGATATTACGTTCCATACGAAACAAGATTTTTTTATTCATGTTGATGAGACACTGACAGTAAACGACAGTGGGGGAATTTGTCAGTGATAAGTATAGTAAAAAGGATGTGAATGGAAGAAATACTCAGCTGTCGTGTAGAAGAAAACAAATGGTTTTCACGGCTCAGCTTTTATTTAACTTCATGAGAACGTCTGGTGCATAAAACCGGTGGTCTGTCAACAGGAGCTGGAAAACCGTGATTCCAAACTTATGACATATATGGGCCCCAGAATCCGATTAGACCCGTAGAGTGTATAAACCTGTCACGGTCACTGACAACCATGGGATTACAGTGTCTGACCCTTCTCCACTGCCCTATGGGTAAGACTTCAAGTTAAAGGTTCGGGGGAGGCTTCTTTATACAGCCATCGGTCTGGGCATCCGGGAAGTATGTCAGCCTTCGTACAAACTATGAGATTTTGTATGATGAGTTTCCAGGTGCCCATAATGTGCCAAATTTGTTTTTTAATAATAATAATAATAATGATTATAACCCATACTAATTAGTGCAGAATTTTCCGAATCAAAAAATTAGCTTAAATTTCCTAAAAGTTTTACTTTGTTCTCATTTTTCTACAGATGTCTTTACCGTAATTTTAAAAATTGGAAAGTATTTTATGCTACTCACTTTTTTAGATTAGAAAGACCAATTCATTTAAGCTTCGATATTGACGCTATGGACCCTACTATTGCTCCAAGTACAGGTACAGCAGTTCCAGGCGGATTGACACTACGTGAAGGATTACGAATATGCGAAGAAATTTCAGCAACGGGTAAGAAACGGTGTAAACTAAAATGATATTTTTGCGTAAACTGTATAAAGAAAAAATCCCTACCTACTGCGATGGTGGCTTAGCGGTAGAATGCTGACCAACTGTGCAAATGGTTCGAGGTTTAACCTCCGGCCGACGCACCCCTTTGTCTTGCTAAGCCGGTGATAAGACCGGTAAGGAAAGAAGGTTTGGCATGAGGCTAACAACCCCACCCCATGGAAGTAAATACCACTGCTACTGAAACTCTAAAGCTCTAGACTGCAGGCCAGTATTCCACTAACAGTGTAAATGAATAAAGAACATTTAAACTGCATGAAAGTTGATCAAATATGGAAAGTAGTCGTCATCCGTATACATCTACGTATTTATATTTCCCATACTTCCATCTCGACCAATTCACTCACAATTTTTGTGGAAATGCTAAGTCAATCTACATATAAGTTCTCTTCATTTCGTTGAAGCAACTTATAGTAAAAAACCATCAGTTATTTTCGTCAGTTCACAGAATTAAGGTTCATATGATGCATAATGAAGACCTTCAGGTGAGACATACTAAAATCTGAAGTAGTTCTCTACACTACTGTATATACGTATATATATTTGTACATCATTAGTTCATTGGTTCGCAGCTGGAACGCAGGGCACAAGTAGCACACATCCATTGCACTCGGTTGTCTGCGATTGCTCCCAGGTGGCGATGACTACATGCAGGTTTTCAATTCCTTCTCACAAGATATTCTCACTTTCACCCTCAGGTGACTATGGAGGCTTGGACCATCCGTCACGTATTAAGTATAGTCTATTTTGTATTGTATTGGCTTCACTTTCAACTGCTGAACAACTCTTAAGCAGCATTTTAAAAAATCTACCATATCTGTATTAAACCTGGGTAATAGAACTGGTTAAAAGTCAATTCGTTTTTGTTTAATGATAGGGAAATTATATATATTTTTGAAGTTAAATATTCTTAAACTCTTGGCATTGTTTTAATCTATCATTAGACAAATTTTAGTAGTTTTTCTCAGATAAAATACTTAACTCTACTTGAAATACCTTGTGATAAGTTGTCGAAAGACAAAATCTCAAGATTTTCTGGTGCTCTGTCTGACAATGGTTTGATTTGTATGAATGCACTCAGTTTTCTTTCATCTTAAGAAAGTCTAGTATGTTTTTTCAGTCTAATAAATCTAGCCGTTCCCTACAGAAGGATCTTTACTTATATCCACTTCCGTGCAGCATTCTGAGATTTTTAAAATGTATCTGTGGCTTTTGCAAATTAGCTGAAATGAAAAAATACATTCGACTAAATTGAGAGGAAGACCTTTCGATTCGTCCACTCAATATATCTGAGATTATAGTGTTATAAATAATAGCAGAGTTACCTCTCCTAATTTACGGACTAGAGCGATCACTTGACTGATTTTGTTCATTATGCACTAGACTAAGCTTGTACACAGATTACTGCTTGGAGACTGACACACATTTAGTTTTGGTAACTGATAATTTGCCTCCTAGGAATAAGTCGCGTAAGAATTTTTTATCGCTATTGTTTTTGGGATTATTTGTCACTAACTGTGTCAAAATAAAATTCAAGTTTGACTATAGACAGGAAACAACGGTAGATTGAAAACGACACGCTTATTTTATTTTACCTCCAACAGGATTAAGGATGTTAACTCGGATAGATATTTTTGTTATATTTTTGCACAACGATTCAACTACTTTCAAAATACATAGTAGTATAAAGAACTTCATCAGATTTTAGGATGTCTGAGTTGAAGGTTTTCTTATTACGCATCATATAAACCTTAATTCTGTGACTCGACGAAAATAATTGATAGTTTTCAGAATAAGCTGCTTCGTCGAAATGAAAAGAACTCATATGTAGACTGACCTTGGCATTTCCACCAAAACTGTGAGTGAATTGATGGAGAAGGAGATGTTGGAAATATGCAAAACTAAAGCAATTTTCGTCACGGAAAATACCCATTGAGTCATGAAGAGAATAAAAGACAGATTCAGCGAAGAAAATTTTCTTTATCGACGAAATCATCTTCAGAGGCTGTACAGTCGTATTTATACTTAGAAAAATGCATAGTGGTCTATTACTGAGTAATAGGGGGTGACATAATTGATGTAATTAATCATAAGTGGCTTTAGAGGTGAAAATTAAAAGTTGTAAATTACATGGTACTCGACGGAACAAAGATAGAAGTTAGAAAAGGTTAAAATTGCTCTTAAGTGAGAATAAAGTTATTAGAGTGTCAATTTAACAAGTGTGAAGAAGGTGTGAAAATATATGAAATTGATAATAGTGAATTAATTATTAAAGCAAAAGCAAACTAAAAGTAAAATTAAAGATTAAGAACAAAATCAAAAATATTTTACAGGGAACGATAAGTGAAGAGGTTAAGACCAAGGTAGAATAAGAGACTGGACAAACTTTTTCTGTATACAGAGATCAGGGTTGTATTGATGTATTGCCAGCGCCTCCGCCATACACAAAAGCCGGAACCTGACGCCCTTTGTACAATTTGGCTTCACTTTGTAGATGATGTTGAAAGACGACTCTGGTGGAGCTATGTGGCCTGAGTTCACCAAATGCTCGAGAATTGAGCTAGTAATTGTCTTGTATTGTCCCTTTGCTAACCATGCCGGATAATGTTCAGAGATGCGTTTGGAAAGCGTGCGCTTTGTGCGGCCAATATAACTTGCTCCACACGAGCATGTGAATTTATAAACACACATTGAGGTGGCCCAAAGCGGCAGTTTATCCTTGACACATCCGTTGATCATTTGTCGGCTGTAGAAATTGATACGTAGTTCAGCCATAAAGAAGGCTTTCCTCAGTGATCTGCGTAAGCGATTCTTCAAGATCTCGGCTGCAGTATCACCTTTAAATTCAACACTCATAAAGAGCAGTTTCTTCGGCACAGTCTGAATTCTTTCAGGCTTTTCTCTTAACTTCATGTTTTTCTCGATAAATCTTGGAGGATATCCATTCTCTATGAGAACTTGTCTGAGTCGCTCCAATTCCCCATCGATTGTATCACTTGAACAAATCCTCCTTATTCTTGAGGATAAGGAATGGATCAAATTTCTCTTTCTTCTTAAAGGGACCCAGCTATGGAAATTTGTGTACTGACCATTCCATGTTGGTTTCCTGTAGATCGATCTTTGAAGAGAGCCATCAGATCTCCTCTTTAGAAAAACATCCAAAAAGTGGAATTCCGAGTTAATCTCTGATTCCGACGTGAATTTGATGGCATGATGGCAGCTGTTGAACTTCTTAGTTACCAATTCGATGTCAGTATTGTCGTCACATATGATGAAAGTATCATCCATGTATCTTAGGTACAGATGGAAACTGTCGATAGTAGGCCGTAAAATACTATTCTCCAAACTGGCCAAGAAGCAGTCTGCAAGTAAAGGACCCAATGGTGACCCCATTGCTACCCCATCTCTTTGTCTATAAATCGTGTTGTTGAACTTGAATTGGACATTTAGAGTGCACCTCAAAAGTAGTTCCTTTAAGTAGTGGATCGGAACACATACGTCCACATTATTATCCTCAATGAATTTGCATATAAAGCAGATAGTTTCAGTGAGGGGAACGTTGGTGAAAAGCGAAGTAACATCCATAGATATCATTTTCTTCCCGGATACATTAGCATCATTTATTGAGTCGACGAGTTCAAACGAATCAGAAACACTATGCTTGCAGAGGTTATTTCTGATAGGTAGGAGGATTTCTGTGAGCCATTTGGCAGTAGCATGATATGGGGAATTTTTCATGTCCAAGATTGGGCGTAGTGGCAGGTTCTCTTTGTGCACTTTCGGCAGACCATATAAACGGGGAATCACGGAACCGGAGGGTCGTATTTGCCCGAAGATGAAGATGATTTCGTCGATAAAGAAAATTTTCTTCGCTGAATCTGTCTTTTATTCTCTTCATAAAGCAATTTTCATTAAATTGGTTGACTAGGAAAAGTTAATGCAATATAAAGGATGAGTACCTGATGAACTCTTACGACAGACACCTGGAATGTCGAAAGATTTGAATATAAATATGACTGTACAGCCTGGGAAAATGATTCGTTGAAAAGAAAATTTTCTTAGGTATTAGGTCTCCTTTTGTTTTTCATGAAAGCTCTGATTGTCAAAGCATTCATATAATGTCCCAACATGTCAGCATAGATCAGGCATTTCGTTTAATGATATCAATGGAAAATACAGCGATAACTTACACAAATAACAACTAATATTCGTAGTACCAGAGCCGAATGATGTGTCCCATTGCCAAGTAGATACCCTTCTAATGTTTGACACTAAGGGTACCTGGTTCGAGTTTCACTGAGAATATTATTATTCACCTGGAATCCAACTACATCCAACTAACGAATCCAAACACAAAGAAACCCTCACATTGGATTCCACTTGAAGACGTCGTAAACTACATAACATCATTTCTACCTTGAGAGAATAATCATGTTTGTTGTGAGATCCCAAATAAAAATATAGGATCCTACTTGACTTCAGATATTGTATTATTACTGTTTAATGTATTATACTACATAACATTTATTTTGATTTTACAGGAAAGCTGTCTGTTGTTGAAATGGCTGAATTAAATCCCCTGTTGGGATCTCCAGAAGATGTAGAGAAAACACAACAAACTGCTGTGCATATACTAAGAGCATGCTTAGGACATTGTCGTTCAGGACATTTGCCATTCAAAGTAAATTCATTAGCTGAAGAAGGTATCCTTAGCCGAGCTGAACATATGCGACCACAATAATATGTAAATATTCTCTATTTTTTTCTACCTGGAATAAATCACACAAACTAACTTGTTATAAAACAAATTTTTTGTGATCTATTCATTCATATTTAAATAAAACAAATATGTTATTATAAAGGATTATAAATATTTTTCAAATATCATAATATATATTGTAATTATAATAGTTATTATTATTATTATCATATTTGTATTAATTTTGTGTTTATTAATTACTAAAGTTAATTACTACATTCAGATAAGCGGAGCTTCTGAGTAACGAGGCTTAGATTTCTAGTGTGGCGGGGGTAAAACAACCAGAATGATAAAAAAATGCAGTGAGAAAAATAGTGTTGTAGAATGACATTAACTGTTATGAACAGTTAGACTACTGTCTGCCTGGTGTAATTGCCAGTAATCCTGCCAATTTAATCACGTCCAGATAGAAAATCTACAAATTTACGAAGTATACCTAATTAATTCTACCGTTAACTACTATCCAATGAATAAAAACAAGTCGAGATTCATCATAATGTTTGCTCATGTATATATATATATATCTATTTAGGGATAAGGGTTGATCTATTATGTCCATTTCAGAAAAAATTACCAAAAATTAGGAAATCTTTCGGGGGGGGGGGAGTATTGTGTATTATTTTATCTGTGTTAACGGCATGATAACTATCTTCTCTCAGAAAAAATGTATTGTGGAAGTGTCCATTTAGGTATCACATAGTAGATGAGAAGATTTCTCCAAAGCCAATTACTTTCAATTAACAATATGCATTTATCTAAAGAGTGGAATATCATTAGTCCCTTGGGTTCTGAGTGGAACATATGGCTTCAACAACACCTCTTCACTTTGTTATATTTGGTGCTAGGTCCACAATTGTCTAAAATCTTTCATTTCCTCCTCCTCCTCAAACCATCTCCTCCGTGTCACCCTCGAACCGGCGATCCACTTGTCACTTTCCAGTGGGATTACACTCGAACAATGGATGGTCTGCATTGTGCGCGATGTCATTTGATAGTGTCCTCAATGTGTACTCAATGCATCTTCATTTTCTCCTACATATTTGTTGCGCGATCGGCTGTTGATTGGTTTGTTCGCAGTCAGAGTTTCTTGTTACTAATTCTCGCTGGCCGGTAAGCCATTTCATCTTCAGTAAGGAGCTAGCTAACAAAAGTGGCAGCTGTGGATAGAAGTCTGAAGTATCCTGTTGGAAACGCCTTTTCATGACACATAGTGCAAGCTTCTGACTCATATAGGAGGGCTGACTGACTACACATTGATGCTGAAAGTCCGAATCTTATTCTTGATGTTATCTTAGTGTAGAAGATTCCCGAACTGATTTCAGGTTGATGAAGGCGTATCGTCCCTTTCCAATTCTGGCTGGCTCTCACATCACCATCCATTCCGACTGCTTGTGGTTGAAACAATGCTTCCTGGTCAGATAAATAAAGGAAGTAACCTCCCCAGTTGGTAGTGACTGGTGCTGGTTGTTGTTGGTGGTGGTGATGTTGCAGTTCGTTGGTTATCTTCATCAACTCCGTCTTCTTTATGTTCACCAGGAGTCCTTTCGTGGATGCTTCTTCATATGCCATATCTATATTTTATTCTACTTAGATCTAAACTCTTAGATAAAAGCAGACAGTAGTAGTTTATGGGAATTCATTCTAGTAAGCATTTGTCGTCTACTAGGACATGAGTTCAATCTTCATCCATAAGAAGAGATAGACTGTAGCTATGAATGGACCTTGTTTGTCTCTTTCTTAACCAGGCAGAATGATATTCGAAAATCCGACGATGAAAACATCCGATTGTGCGCCCTATATAACTGGCTTCACAGAAGCAGTCAAACTGACAGACAGAAATAGAAGAGGCAAAGTTAGGTAGTTCATCTTTAACTCTCGAAAGTAAAAGCGGGGGGGTGTGGAGTGGTTTTGAAGAGATAGTGTACATTAGAGGTATTAAATTTCTACACTAAGCGAATCAAAACAATGCACTGTATAACAAGACAATCAAAAAGCCAGTGTTCGACTAAAACATAATAAATATTCGTGAAGTATGATTAAAATCAATTTCTGTAAAAGTCTAATACACGTACATGAATTGGTTATAGAGACGTTTAGTTAGTGTTAATAGAAGTCCATGACACATTACATTCAGTATTCGACAAAGATTCAGATCCGAGAAAATTATTTTAACCAACAATATTTCTCATATTATCAGTTTTTTTCTATTTTCTACACAACTCAACTGTCTATTAGAAAAGATGAATTCTTTTTGGAGGTCTTCAAAATTGTTAACTTATCTTTCCTATCTATTATTATTTTTTATTATTGCTCCCTTGGGTTCCTAGTGGAACATAGGGCTTCAACTGCACGTCTCCACTCGCTTCTCTCTTCTGTTGTACTTTTCACCTGCATCCATGTTAATCCATATTCTTTCAACTCCTCTTCACACGATCTCCTCCATGTCACCCTTGCACCGACGACCCACTCGCCGCTTCCCTTTCGAGTTCCACTCGAGGGCTTGGCGCGCGATGTCACCCAGCGGTCTCCTCAGCGAGTGTCCGATCCATCTCCACTTTCTCCTGCATATTTGTTGGGCGATTGGTTCTTGTTTTGTTTCTTCCCATAGTTTCTTGTTGGTGATTCTGTCCGGCCATCTGATCTTCAGTATAGAGCGGAGACGGCTGTTGATAAAGGTCTGCAACAGCCTTTTGGAAATATTCTTTGTGACCCGCCATCCAAGTTTCTGATCCGTATAGAAGAACTGACTGACTTGACGTTTGTGTTGAAAATCCGACCGAATTTTGTTGTTGATGGTGGCTGAGTGAAGAAGATTTCCAGATTGATTTCAGGTTGATGAATGTGTTTCTCGCCTTTCCGATTCTCACTCGATTTGACATCCTCGTCCGTTCCTCGTGTAGTTGAGACAATGCTCCCTAGATAAGTAAGTGAATGAAGTAACCTTTTTCAAATCCCTTCCGTTGATGGTGATTCGCACTGGATGTTGCTGCTGTTGTTGTTGTTGGCTGGTTATTTTCATCACCTCCGTCTTGTCTATGTTCACCTGGAGTCATGTCTTCACTGTCTGCTTCTTCGACCAGTTTGTCGGTTTTCGCTTGTAAGTCTTCGATTTTGTGTGGCATCAAACATAAATCATCCACACGCGAAATCCAGGTCTTCTAGGTTCTTCGCGTCGGTCCAGGATATTCCTGTCTTCTCGTTTCCCACTGTCTGACGCATAATCCAGTCCACCACAATTAGGAATATCATTGGTGATAATAAGCACCCTTGTCTGACTCCTGTGTTTACTCCAAACGCCTCGCTGAGTCTTCCGTTGTGGATCACTTGGCAGGTGCCGTTGTCGTACAGCTGTTGAATAAGGTTGATGAATATTTGGGGTACGCCATAGTACTCGAGTAATTTCCAAATTACTTCACGATCAACGCTGTCGAAGGCCTTCTGAAAGTCTATAAAGTTGAGGTAGAGGTTTGATTGCCATTCCATGCTTTGTTCGATGATGATGCGTAGAGTTGCAATTTGGTCAGTACATGATTTGCCTTTCCTGAATCCAGCTTGTTCTGGTCGGAGTTCTGTCTCCAGTGCGTCCTTTAATCTCTCCAGGATGATGCGACTCAGGATTTTACTTGGCGTCGATAGGAGCATGATTCCTCGCCAGTTCTTGCAGAGTCCTAAGTCGCCCTTCTATCATGTGTGTTATAGGTTGTAGCATTTAGCTGGCTTATCTTCTATTTTTCCCTGTCTTTATTTATCCTACCTAAATCTACTTCTATTTCTGTTTTTATATCACTAGACATGTCTGTTTTGATTGAGTGAAATAACGCACATTTCGTTATTTATAGTCAGAAGAAAGTTTTCAATTTACTATAAACTTTATGATTTTACATGAAAAAAGAATAATCAGGAAAAGAGTAGAGATATCCTAATCTACTTTCTGTCGTCTTGATTCGATAGACAGCGAATCTTCTCAGTTTTATTTAATAAGTAGACTGCTAACTACAGATGATGCATATTGACATCTTATATGCGAAATTGTGACAACTAACACAAAAATTAACTGATTCTCTATATAAGTAGTTACAAATTTCACTTCATTGATGTCCTATAGGAGATATTCATTTTTTTTCAGGTAGTCAGTGGATTTTGAATTTTGATGAGGCTGTGAAATTAGTCTGATATTATTATTTCAAAATAATTGTAGATTTTCAAGTATTGGTTTTGTAGGGATTTTGTTTGATAAATTGGAGCATTTCATCATGAGCTGACGTCAGACAGAGAACCATTGGAAAACCTGGAAGTACTGGACAACTGTTTCATCCTAGTTTGGGACTCTTCAGCAGTACTCAACCAACGCCGGGGTTCGAACCCAGGACCCTCTGGTTACGAGGTGAGCTCGCAGACCATTCAGCCACTGGGACCTGATCCAATGATTCTTGAATTCTAACTTCTGCTGATTCACGACATAGCGCGACCACTTCGCAATGTCTTCTTCGATGAGTTATTGCCTCATTTTCAACCTGCTGCACCCTACTGGTCACGACTTCCCACTAGAACCCCAGGTTAACTGCCTGATTAGGGCCAGTAACTAGTGAATCCCGGTAGGTGCGTAGTGTTGAAGAGTCCCAAACTAGGACGAAACAGCTGTCCAGTACTCCCAGGTTTTCCAGTGGCTGTCTAACTGATGTCAGCTCATGATGAAATCCTCCATGGAATTGTAGATTTGCTAGTTTTCAGACTGAATAATGCAAAGTTTAATGTTACTTGCATAAGTATATCGTTGGTAGTATTTCAGTATCAGTTTCAAATAGTGAGTCATGATAAACGATTAGGTTATAGTTAAGCTACATAACATGGAAATGAGTGCAGGCTTCATAAGACCACAGTTTTCTTAATCGCTATCCAGTCATTCAGTACACAGTGGAACACAGAGCTTCAAGCTTTGGCGTG